ACCATTCTCTACCACTCCAAGCCACCACCACCTCCAATCCTGAGGACACAAGAGCCCACAGGCTACATAGCAGCCTCCATTGCTGTCCAGGCTTGGTTGACAACAGCTAAGGCTACTTTTACAAAGAAAAGGCTCAAGTCACGGCCCTCTGTGGTGGCTTCCCCTCTGCTACCAGAACACACAGGCTAATATGCAAACACAGTCTAGGGCCTGCCCTCACCCTCCTACCCCTACTACCCTTCCTCTGGCTCCAGTATGTCATCCTCTCTTTACCCCTCGGACACATCTGTTTCTTCTTGCCTGGTTTTGCCCCTGCTTCCAGTGACCTGCCCTTCAACTTTCTGCAAGGCCACTATCTTCCTAACTGGGTCCCTGTTCATGTCACTTTCACAGACAGGTCTTCCTTGACTACCAGCTACATGGCAGCACTCAGAATTTGTTTTTTATCAGTAAAGTGGCACCTGCCTTGTGACCTGAGTCCACTACCTGGAACCCTTGGTGGAAGAGACACATCTCCTGAAAGTCTTTTGAACTCCGGACATGTGACACATACACCTATATTCATGTTCACACACATGCAATAATAATAAGTTAGATAAAAAACATTTTAAGCCTGTGCTCTGAGCTGCCAGGCTGGGATCCCTGGCTCTACCCTCACAGATGCTAAGCATTCCTGGAGCTTACCACTTTTCTTGCCGATCCTGTTGGTTCATCTGTAAAATGGGATAATAGCCCTGACCCTCCAAGAGTGGTTGGTATTAAAACAAAACAAAAAAAAAGAGTCGCTACACATCAAGGAGCACTTAAGGACAGTGCCTGAGACCCAGGGGACATCACCGAAACTGCTGCTTAGGGTTGGGACTGCTTGTGAGAACATTTATGCACCCACTGTGTGAAAGCCAATTGTGTGAGGAGCCTGTGTCTGTGTTCCAGGCAGCATGGAGGTGGTCCAGCCATTAGCCCTAGACTGTTCTGTCCTTTCTCTGCTGTCAGCTTTCATGCCTGCTCCACCTGAGGGTTACTGGGACGACCCTGAGGACCCTGGAAAGGGCCTGGTGCCATGGTAGAGGCAGAGGAAACCATGCAGGGACTGGGAGCCCGAATCCTCCCCTAAGCTCTTAATCATTGCATCCCAGGGAGCGTCCCAGTGGGAGGTCTTTAGTTCAGCTCAGGGGGTAATTACAAACTTCACTGTCTGGTTCTCTCCCCCAATTCTCCACAAGGAACCCACAGTCCTGTGGCTTATAGATAGATTAACACCTTAGAAGTATGGGAGGGGTTGGAACCGTCCAACTGCCAGTGATGGGGCCTGGAGCAGGCTATCATGCCCTTTGAACCTCTGTAAGTGAGGGTGATACCATCCTCTAGACAGGATGAGAAAGGGTCAGGTGTGCAAAGAGAGTCTTTCCTTTAGACGGCAACTCACTTCCATGTCTGGGGCACTAAGTATGGTGTGTGGCACACAGTAGGTGTCTTGCTGCCTCAGGGCATTTGGAGTGCTGACACCACTCAGGTACAAGCCGAAACTCCTCCTCAATAACCAGAAGCCAGATTGTTGAGGGCCATGTCTGGGCTTTTCCCCACCTTTTCCCCAGACTTCCCTGCCTGATCTGGTGTAGCAGCCTTTCTGTGGCTGCCCAGCCTCCAGCACCATAGAAGTTCCCTCCAAACCGGCTGCTGAAAGGATGTTTCAGCAATGGTGCTCATTCTCCAGGTCCAGGACCTCCTGTGACTCCCCAAGGTCCTCATCAGCAACTGGCAGGCTTCTCAGAACGAACCTGAAGCCCTGCTGCCCATTGTCCCAGCTCCGTCTCTACCCATGAAGCCACTTCTGTGTTGGTAAAGGGCAGCTGCCCAACCAAAACTACATTTCCCAGCATCCTCTGCACTTGGGTGGACATATGACCAGTTCCTACCACTGAACTTGGAGTGGAAGCTAGGAATGCTGAGGATGCAAAGCAGAGGTGCTGCTGGCTCTGCTACCAAGGTACTGGTCAGATAGAAAGGACATCCAACAAGTAGAGATAGTGGCTGCTGGTGGGAAGAGCCTGAGTCTGTGTCTCTGTCCACATGGAAATAGACTCACACTGTGTTATGAAGAGGACCTGCCTGCCCTGCCCATCTTTGTCCTTTTTGCCCAAGAAACCTGAGGACAAGGGGACTCATGAGCCACTGGATGCCAATTGTGATGGCTGTGGTGGCTGGGGACAGAGCTGGGCCCACTGCCTAGACCCCTGGCTCAGATTAGGATGCATAACCCACATGACCAGCAGCCTGGGTGACAGTGGTCCTATGATGTGTGTGAGCCAGGACCCAGCTCTCTGGGGCACAACTTTGACAACATCCCACATGTTCCCAGCAGGGGCTTTGGTGACCACAGCTTGCTCGGCAGGGGTGTCAAAAGGCTGCAAGACCTTGCCCCAGTCCACAGCCTCTGTGTTCTTGTTCAGCCATGCTCTCCTCTTTAGCACATCCCAAGATTTGGCAGTATCTGTGCCCTCTGGGATCCCCGTTCCTAAAACTGGTCTATAAGGGGGTTTCAGCCCTTCAAGAAGCAAGATCAAACTCAATGCAATCTTCCTCTGGTCCAGCCCTTAGCCAGTGAGGGAGGGGAGCTAGAGAATAAACATCCCATCTCCTCCACACCCTGGACATGACTCTGAAGTGTACCTCTTGCACTCTGCTGCCAAGGCACACAACCCCTTGTTCTCTTTCTGTTTCCACTTCTTATTTAATAACTCATGCCCGATTCAGCCTGAGACACAAAGCCGTGGTTCACACGTTCCTTTTCTCCAGTTTCTGTGGTGATTGTGTTCATAGCTGTTAACCTTGATGGACTGCAGGCAGTACTGGGGAATGTTTAAAAATGGACTGCTTCTATGCAAATATAAGGAACTGCTTAAATGATCGCCTAGAGACTGGACAAAGACTGCAAAGGCATCGTGCTAACACCTCAATCCACTGTGATACACAGTTTAAGATGAGACAGGAATTTCTGTCCTGGAGAGATTGTATACAATTTAATTTTTCATCTCAGCATCAACCTGGCTGTGCTTCCCTTTTTGCTTTGACTGCTAGGGAGCTCGGAGCAGAATTTGTTCAGTGTGCTTTCAGACCTGCAGGATGGCCACTCCAGATATTCCATCTTGGTTCCTGTCTAACTGGTGTGGATTGTGAGTCATTGGCATTGGCTGGGACTGGGTGGGCAGGAATTTGGAAATGTATTATAAACAAATAAAAGATGTCATTAAGTGAAGAAACGCTGGCATGGAGCAAATCTGGATTCGAATTCCTGTCTACAACGTGGGGGACCTTGACAATCATGTGGCCTCCACGCTGTGGGTGTCCTCATTCATAAACGTGGGTGATGAGAAGAGTTTCCCAAAGAGAAAGCTGAATGAATATACAGAGCATCAGGATGGAGTTTTGGCTATAGGCAGGGGACGGTCGGTGTTCATTCTCATGAGCAAAGCGACTTGAGGCAAGAGGGACGAACTTGAGGGACTGACTCTGTGTACCCCAATGTCTGGAGCATTCCCATGAGAAGTGGGCATGGGAAGATCAGTTGCTGGGGCACTAGAAGCTTGGCAAAGGAAGGCACATGCCCATCCCACTCCCCACAATGCCCTAGGATTGCAGAGTGAGGGTATGCCAGAAGCAGGGGTGGGAGGACAACTGTGGAGCCAGCTCTCTCCTACCTTCCACGGGTTCTGGGCATCAAACTCGAGTTGTTATGCTTGTGCCTTAATGGGCTTAATGGGCTAAGCCTTCTCACTGGCTCCCGCCATGTGATTATTGAGTCCTTTGAACAGTGCCTGGCATGTGCTCAGGATTTGCTGAAGGCAATGGGCTATACTGCACCAGGATATGCAGTGTATTTTATGGGTGTCATGCTGTGAAGGTGCCCCAGGTGTAGAGAATCCATCCCTGCTGTGGGTGTAGAGACAAAGGACTCTCTTTGTTTCAGCTCTCACAGTGACCCACAAGTGGGGTGTCTCCCATTGTCACCCACTGGCGCACTGGGACACAAAGTCATAGATCCACGCTGTTACAGCCCATGAGTGGTGAAGCCCACCCCCAACCCCCGCCCCTGGCTGACAGGAGCCCTGATGATATCCCTGCTCCCCATGTCCTTACCCTGGACCCCAAGTCCAGTACTTTCCTGAGCAATGAGCCTATTTTGGTCTCTTTCCCACTGACCACAAAGACTCAGCTCTGGCCTCAGAAATATTTGGGACGTTTTTATTTAAATGTCTTGTGTTCCCTTTTAACCAACACCAAAAAGAGAAATTAAATTTTTTTTCTTTTTTTGCTGTTCCAAACAGGAGAACCGCTTCAGTGAAGGGCTGGTGTGTGTCTCTGGAGCTGGGTGGGGAGTGTGCGTCCTGTCCGGAGGCCACCCTGGGGAGACAGCACACACAG